CATACATTTCTTAAAAAAAAGAGAAAATTAAAATCATGTCACGATATTTATGTACGTTCAATAACAATTTAACAAATCCATCTCATAACTTCCGTTTTTGGTACAACAAATCCATCTCATAACTTCCGCTTTTGGTACAACAAATCCATCTCATAACTTCCGTTTTTGGTACAACAAATCCATCTCATAACTTCCGCTTTTGGTAGAAAAATTGGCATAAAAATTAAAATTTTCCTTATAGATAGGAATTATCACTTTTTTTTAATGAAAAAACTGTACTGGATTTGGAATATCTGTATATAAGAAGAGAAATGTTTGGCTTACTAATATTATGTTCACCTCTAAACTTAAATCAAAAACAAAAACAGTGTTCTTCGGAAAAGGCGTATTTCTGCTCATTATGTTACAGGTGAACGACCTAAATTACAGATTATTTATTTCGTGTTTTACAACGTGAGTCCAAACAACTTTCATGTGTAAACTGAAAACGTTACTATAGTTCCTGAGAAAAAGGTACAGACGTAGGTTCAAGCAATAAAATTTGTTCGTATTAAAGGGAATTCATTTAATTCTAGATATTGGTGAGGTTTGCATGTTGTCCTCTGAAAATCCGTTAAACTCAAGGTAATTCTTTCTACATTGCAAATTGTTCTTTATTTACCAGGGAAAATAAGATCTTAAGTATAGATTTTGAGCATATGTCAGAACACAGAACATACGCAATTTATGTTCTTTATTTACCAGTGAAGATAAGATCTTAAGTATAGATTTTGAGCATATGTCAGAACACTGAACATACGCATTTTAGTGTATTGAAAATTGCGTATTAAAATAGAGTAAGCAGAGAATGCAAGTTGTTGAGGAGTATATTATATATATATGTATGAGATGTCTATGTTGTTTTTGTAGGGCAAATATATATTCAGCATTATCCGCGCTCTGTCCATCTCGGAGAATCAAACCCCTGTTATAGTACTCTTTTGACTTGTGAATATTTAAAGTTTCCCAGTTTGGACAGGTTTATTGACCATAACAGGATAACAATTAAAACAGAATATTACAAAAATGTTTTTTTTAGCCTTAAGTGACATAAAATTGGAATATTGTGTTCCTTTAATAAGAAATGCACTGGTTAAAAACGGCTTGTTTTTTCACATGAACGACATCTTATGCACACAGTGGGCTAAATAGCCAGATCATGCATAGCTGAACTACGGACCAGAGAGAGAGACGATTAGTCGACCGTTAACATCGGTCAACTGAAAAACCGCTGATTTTAACTGAATAGCAAGTTTGATTATAACTCATCAATAGTTAAAAATGCGAAGAGTGTTTGGTGGCACCATGTCTTGAACCCGAAACTCTCGGAACCTCGATACGCTAACACTAGGCCCTCTAAAATAGCACCCAACGACTATATTAATTTAACTTGAGAACCTAAAATCAATGTGTATAATCAGTAAATTGTGGTTCGTTTATAAATTTTCCACCGGGAGAAAACAAAATAAAACAATTTAATAGTTGTCAGTATTTCAAGTTACTCAATATACTGGTAACGAAAATAGTAAATATCGGAAGTAAAGTCCAAACGTAATACTGTTCTCTAAGAAGACACTCTGTATTTATGGACAGCTAAGCTATTCGATGATATTAATATTTATTTTATTGTCTTATAAATTCTGTCTGTGCGGACGTAACAGATAAAAAAATGACAATTAAAGTTAAACGAATGAAAAAAAAAATCTTCAGCGACACAGTGCT